TTACAAGCTCCCAGTGCTGTCCCCAGAGCCTTGTACAGGAAAGCCTGCATGGGAAGGGAAGGAAGAAGCTGGGATGTGGCAGCAGCCTGATCTGCTGGGAGAGGGCCAGGTGGGAAGGACCCACTTCCTGGGAGTCACTGAGAGCAGCTGCAAGGGCCGAGCTTTAGCCAGCCTCCGGGCAGACTGCAGGGAAAGGCCCTCTGGGGGGCACGGACCAGGGAAGAAGCATGAGCAGCCCACGTGGGCAGAGCACCAGCCTCAGCTCCAGTCCCAGTAGGGCACCTGCAGCTGCACTGCTGGGTAGAGACAGGGGGAACCCACCTTTTCTCCAGAGCTGCTGGGAGAGCTGCTCAGCCACCGGCTCAGCTCGCAGCTCAGGGCCTCGATCCAGGCCTCATCCTTGATGGTGTCCAGCGACGCTCTCAGGAACTGTTGGAGAACAGGAAAAGCCAATGTTCCCTTGCCATTTGCCTCTTCCCTCGCTCCCAGGTTGCTGCAGACTTCTGGGGAGAGTGCCTGGAAGAACAGTCTCTCTCCCAGCTGCCCCAGCATTCCCTCCATTAAAGCCGCCTGCCTCTCTTCTCCTAAGACCCCCCTGGGCTTTGGACAGGAAGGAATAGGCAGCGCCACAAAGGCGTGCAGCTGCTCTGCTGCAGCATTTGAGAGGCTGTTCCTGTCCCGCCGTGGCTCATATGGGAGCAGGGCTCCTTGAGGCAGGCAAGCACTTCTCTGCACTGCGCCTCCCAGCAATGCTGTACCTTTAGCAAACGGCACTCCCACTCTGCAGGGTCTGGGAAGCTCTCATCTTTTCCTGCACAGCAATAGGAAGCAAAAGACCTTTAGTTGGGATCAGTCCACAGAAGAGCTGCTGCAAACCTGGCTTGGCCTGGGCACTCAACACTGCCAAGCTGGGACCTGTACCCCCTCCACAATGACCTGTCCCTGCCCACAAACACTGTCCCTGCAGGAACACAGAACTAACTGCTCCAAGACTGCTGTCTAAGGGGACATGAAGGGCCCATCCATGTTCCAGAACAGGCAGATCCCATGGGGGAAAGGTCCCTGGGCCTCAGTGCTGCTCCCTGGAATAGGAACAGCAGCAGAGCAAGCACTGGGCTGCAGGAAAGCTTCCCCTCTGCCATGCTATAGAGCTGCATTTTCACTCCCCCCTCCTTCCCTGCCTCAGGCTCTCCCTCCCCACCACCACTTTACCTTGGAGACACTGCAGCAGCAGGGGGATCTCTGCAGCCCACATGGCCCCCACAGCTCTGTGGAACC